TGTTCTTTTTTGATCTGACTGTAAAGGAAATTAACCATGTGAAGCCGATAAAATATTAAAGTATATTAATAAGGCTAATCATGCTATATGTGTGTGTGTGTATCACATTTAAAATATTACTCGTCTTTTCTTTGATTTTCTTCTTAGCACATTCTAACCCAGACAAAAAAGATGCGTAAGAATCAAAAAGGAAGCACGAAATTTAATCGGGTATTAAGAGTAAATATTAAGTGTTTTCATACTTTCAATAAATTTTCTTTAAGGTATATAAATAGTAAATATCTATTTACTTGTCTAATATTAGCTTGAGCAAACATGAAGAGAAAACTTCTTTTATATTCAATTTAATTCATCTGAATATATGAAACTGGGAACATTAAAATGCCTAAATAAGCTTCTCGATTATCAATATTATCTTTTCTACTAAATTAACTAAAAAAAATATTATTTTTAAAATAAATTTTATTAATATGTCAATCTAAAGGTTTTTAAATTTTTAATGGTTTTTAGTGAAATTTCATATATATATAAAATCAATAATTAAAAATAAGAAAATTATATTGGTAATGATATTTTGATACAAATACAGAATTTCTATTTTCACAATTTTTAAAAATTTTTTATTCATACACCAAAAAGCCATTTTTAATTACAATTTAATTCTAATTTACCAATCAACTAGTGTAATTTATTAATTAATATATGATTTTTTTATCACATAAACCATTATAATTTTATTAAAAATTTTTTTATATATGATAATAATATTTAAATAATTATGCTGTAAATTTTAATTTACATAATTTATGCTTTGATTTTGTGGTTTTTCTGCGAATTAAAAGATTCTAAATTTTTTTTCAATAAATATTATAAATAAAATAAAACTACACTAATTTATCTATTTGTATAATGGAGAAGTTGTTTTAATATTAGAAAAGTATAAATAAATCTTTGTGGTATTTTTTGTTTTTATGAATATATTTGTAAAGCCTTACATTTAAGTAAATTAATTATTTACTTAAACATTTATTTCTTATTTTTATTGTCTTCCTTACGGACTTATTTCAAATAAATAAAAAACAACAACAACCCTAACGATTTATAATATTTTAATGATTCAATTATACCTAGGAACGATCCTGGTTTTCACAAATTGCGATACCACGGCCCTCTTCAAAGGTTCTCTACTCAGAGGCTATATCCACCAACAGACCCGATACCTTGCTAAACATAAAGCCATATGACTAGATTAATGGTTATAGGCACATTCAAAGTTGGTCTGAGGAGATGTCATTTTTTAATGTGTACATAAAGTACGGCACTGGACATACGACATTATTGGTAAAATAATCAGAAAATCGCAATTTTAAAATATATTAAATCTCAAATCAAATTATAAACAGTTCAATCATTCCTCTTTGAACAAAAATAATAATTTATCTATTTATTGCTTATGAATATCCAAAAACTATTTATTTTATTAAAGTCAAGACACATTGTAAAAGTTTATAAGGCTATTTGTTAGTAAAACTATACACATAAATTTATTTTGTTTAAATTTTATAAATTATTTAAGATGTTTATAGATGTGAAATTTTACGGTAAATTCAAAAATTTTAAAAAACTATATAGCCAGTTTAGTCATTATAATAATACATTTTTTTATTTTTTTAAAACCACTTGACTTTTTCTATTTCATTTATCATATTTTCTAAATTTTAACATTGCATGTTAAAATTTCCAGTTTTTAAAATTAAATATCCAAGTTTTTATGTTTTGAATGCACGAAAATAAAAATATGTTTTGCATTTGGTTTTTTATAAATTCTGGGATATAAAGTCATCTGCAGCTTTATTATTCCTTTTCATACTTTAAATAGATTAATTTAATTAAAAAAAATCTTTTTAATAATGAGAATTAGTAAATCTTTAATTTTATAAAAATTATTATAAGACCATTTTGTTTCAAAAAATTTTCAAATTAAACCACGCATATTATATTTTAAAAAATTTTATCCTTTTCTTAAAAAAATTTACTTGTTAATTGAAATTATTTGTTTCATTTTTTGCTACAATTTGTGAAACAATTTTTTTTAAAAAATATTTCAATAAACCACAGAATTATTTAAATAAAAGGAAAAATGAACATTTCTGTACTGACTTTCAATACAAACAACAACCTAATTGACGTAGATGATCTTGAAAGAATCAAAGAAAATTTGTCATCTGATGTGATAATACTGAATTTACAAGAATTCTACTATCCATTTTCTTATCCGAACGAATTTCTTGAAAAAATTGGAAAAACATTTGAAGAATATGAATTAACATTTTACGATAGATTTTTTGGGTTAATAACGCTTATTTTGCAAAAAAACAACGGGATCAGCAAAATAAAACCATTGAAAATTGGTTTAGGCCCATGTTATTTCGGCAACAAAGGATTTATATCAGTGCTGATGAATGATACAATCTACATCAATGCTCATTTATCAGCGCATACAAGAAATAATACAAAAAGACTAGATATGATAGATGATATCTTTGCGTTAATACGAGCAGAATATGAGTTGGAGAAAACAAAAATTCATACAATTGTTTTGTCTGGCGATTTAAATTTTCGAAACGAACCGAGTTCTTCTGGAAAAAACAATCTCAGAGAATTATCATATCCAATGTGCAAAGAAATAGACCAAATAAGACATTTCCAACAAAAGTATCCCGAATTTGTTGAAAGTGAAATAACCTTTGAGCCAACTTATAAGTATGAACCAGGAACAGACAAATTTAGCAAGAAAAGAGTGTCTTCATATTGTGACAGAATACTAGTTTGCTCAAATAAGGCAATTAAATTCGATACATATAGTAGTATTAACGACATTAAGTCAAGTGATCACAAACCGGTTTTTGCTAATTTTGGTATTGGAAAAGAAAATATTAATGATAAACAGCTTGTTTTTGCTAAAAAATATCCTTCACGTTTGCTAGCTAAAGTCATTTCAAGAACATATGGGACTTTATATGATAATATCCTTCTTGTTATCGTATTTCTTGGTTTGCTGATTATATTGAGAATTTGCTGGAAATTTGGTTCTCATGGCTCAAAAAATAATACACCAGACGATATAGTTGTATAATTTTTCAAACAATATAAAATCGTGTATTTAAGTTTTTATATATATATATGATATAAAATATGATGTTCTTTATGATATATTTATTATTATATCTTTTTTTTCTTATGAATATTTTAAAATGATTTTTTTTATATATCTGAATACATTCTTTATCATTCTTTTTATTAAAAAAATTTACATCAAAAATATCTAATATTTCATGTATATATTTACTTAAGAAAAGAAAAAATCACAATGAATATTTAAGAAGTTAAAATTTTCTCCTGAATCAAATCGTTTCTTGTTAATAATAAAATCAAGCAATTACCACTACCAGGAAAAAAATGTACGCAATATATTAGCTTTCTGCTTGAAAAAATAAGAACATAGAAAGTTATACATAAAACCAAATATTAAATATATTGCCGAATGATATAAAATATGAATTACCGATTAGATGGATAAAGATATTGTTTTCTTTCAAATTTTTTGTAATAATATTATTGCACAAGAAATAATAAAAAAGGTATAAACAAATGCAAAATTTATATTTATGATCATTAATTATAACACCACATTATTTTTCTTGTAATATTTTCAAGAACACACAAAAGATATGAAATATTTACTTTAACGACAAATGCATAATATTTTCTCTTTTATAATCTATATGAATTATTAATTTTGTAAATAATTGGTTTAAGAAAGCCTGTATATTCATAGAAAACAAGAACGATTATGGATTTATATAATAATGAAGATCCATAGATAATATATACAGGTATTTAGATATAATAATAGAATATTTTTAAATGTTGTGCAGAATTTTTGCATTTTTTCTTTGAAAAAAAATAGTTTTTTTCATAATATCTATATAAAATAAATTAAAATAAGCAATTTATCAGTAATAAGATAAAGTAGAGGTATAAATAATTACAAATTAACGTTTCTAACATTCTTGTTTGTGCGCATATGCAATGTTAGAATAAATTTTGTTTTAAAAAAGCGAATTCATTAAATATAAACTCGTTCGATCAAACAATTATAATATTCATTAAAAAATATTTTTTATAACATTCGTTTTTTGGTAGGCTCACATCAAAAAGTTTAAACTATTTGAATAAAACTAATTTTTAATTTTAATAACATGATTGCTATAAAAAATTTGCAATCTAAATGATCAAGTCAGATAGAAATAAAATGCAGAAAAGAAACTATTAAAAAAAATTCTTAGTTACTTTTTACTTTTCTAACGGTTATTGAAGAACCTTTATAGAAAATATTATAAATGTATTTTAAAGTTATTATATTGTTTGTTACCACGATTTATATAAAAATTTAGACAAAAGATTAAAAGTTTAAAAAATAGATCTCCTTGTTCCAATAAATAAAAAACTTTGGCTTAATAAGCATCATGATTTGTAAAAAATTCTATATTTCATCCAAAATTTATATCCAGTATATTATTTTGTTTCAAGTTTAGTTTTGTGATTTTATTGTATGATTAATGTTTATGCTTCAATCATAGTACATTTATTTTAAACTAATATAATAAATCAATATAAATACATATTCTAAACATCGAAAACTTATCAAATCTTATATCCGCATTAAGTTATTTTGTTTCAAAAATTGTAGGAATTACAGACATATAATTTTAAGAAAAGTTTCTTCAAACATACGAAATAAAAGTTTTTTTAAAAATATAATTGTTAAAAAAAATTTCATTAGAAAAAAAACCATTCACATTATATTAAATTTTTTCATATATTTGCTATTAATCATTAAAGTGATGTTAAAATTTTTTTGTTTTTGTGATTCTGATATATATAATGATCTGTAAATTTGCATTTGTAAATATAGTTATGTTGTGTTGAATCATTAAGCTTCAGTAGCTCAGTCGGTAGAGCACTCGGCTTTTAACCGAGTGGCCCAGGGTTCAAGTCCCTGTTGGAGTGTCTTTTTATATTTTGAGGCTACAAGCAAATAATAC